ATGTTATCAATTAGAAGGAATAATGTGGCTACACATGAGCCACATTTAAAAAATCTCTTTCCCATTTAAATAAAGAATACACCAGAAAAGCAGGAGGAAAGCCAGCCCCCTCCCTTTGGGCCCTCCAGGCTTCATTTACTGTGCCTCACAGAGGTTAAAACCGGATGGCCTTGCCTCCTTTGGCCACAGTGGACAAGTGCTTCTCTTCCAGAACATGACACGTGCTTGATTATTCGGATTCAGGAAAAGTGCCAGTACCATGCCCTGCCCAGGAAGTCCGAATATTTGCTTTCCGGTGTCTATTTGCCAAATATAATTTGTTGCCATGTCAGTTTATTTTAATCAGTGCCCATTAAAAAGAAATCTTTCAACTTCCAGAGTTTCAGAAACTCTTGGCCTTGGAAACACTGTTCAAAGTAAAACTCCAAACAACAAAACAAAGAAGCTCCTACCCTTGAGATTGCAGGGTCTTTCACCCAGGAGGACGAGTCATGTTAACATAATGTTCTATGGACTTTGATCCAGTAAGGTGTTACGGAGAATGTGTCTGAGCATCTGCTTGGAAATGTTTAAAACTCCTTCTATAGACAAACTATCCCTTCTACCTCTGGCTGTTTCCACAGGCAAAAGATTTCTCAAAAATAACCAAATTAAAAAATTTATTTTTACCTTTTGGCAAAATTAAGAAAAAGATTTTTCATTGTCAGGTGGAAAAATTCATCATGGGGAAAAATGTTAAATGTGCCAAGAGAGTTCTTCTTGGATTCTGCTTAGAAAACCCACAGTTTCCTGGGAAATCTGTGATGGGTCCTTTAGTTTTCTGCTCTCTGTCACAGTGACACTGGCTTTTTGGAATACCCACTTTCTCCAAAATATCCCTTGGGTGTCAAATATAATCAGGGTACTTCTGGGGGAGATGGGAGGGATGACCCTGTTGCTAAGCAACACATGGAAGAAGTTTGAAGAAGGCTCCTTGCTCATACTATCAAACTTGACCATCAGAGACAATGTTTTCAGAGTTTGTGTGTTGTTCCTAAAATTTAAAACCACATTGAGAGAAGAGAGATTGGAGGAGGAGGGAGAGTGAGTAGGGGAAAGAGGCATGTGGTACCTGGAATACTCTGGAGAAGGAGGGTGTGCTGAAGGAGAGAATCTCATATTGGTCTGTGGATGAGCCTAAACAGTGCCAGAAAAGTTTAAAGAAACAGAAAAAAGAAATTTCTCAAGGGAAAATCTGTTTTGTTTCTTTTCAAGAGTACCCAGAATTTAACACAGGGGCACTCAACCATTGAGCCACATCCCCAGCCCTATTTTGTATTTTATTTAGAAACAGGGTCTCACTGAGTTGCTTAGTGTCTTGCTTTTGCTGAGGCTGGTTTTGAACTCACGATTCTCTTGCCTCACTCTCCTGAGCCACTGGGATTACAGGCGTGCCCCTGTTTTATTTCTTTACCTTAGCCCAGTGTTGTCTAGATCTGATTTTGTGCAACCTCTTGACAACCTACTTTACAACTGGATTCTTATCTCTCAGCCTTTCACCACACAGGTCCTAGGGAAGAAATTCTCTCTGAGAGATGTGAATAACGTGGAAAGGCTATATGGGGAAACAGTAGTGGAAGAGTTTAAAAGAAAGATGAGAGGAATCTAGATTATTTAGCCCAAAGCAGATTGAGTGCAAATACTGCCCTTGAGGATGATTGCAAAGAGAAGGCTGTTCTTTATTTCCCTGGAGGTCAAAACACGAGGAAATGAGTTTAAATGGCAGACACAGGATACAAGTCAGAGAGAACTTGCTGGTTATGAGGATTGGTTGGTTACAGGGAGAATTTATGGAATCTTATTCTTGGGAGATAGTTAAGCAAAGGATTGAAAACCATATGCCTAGGTGATTTAGATTTAATATTCCTTGATGCTGTAAAGAACAATACTTTCCTCTAGGCCTATGTGCTGACTGTAATTTTGTAGAAATCAGTGTCAGTTTCTTGATATCCCAACTAATTCTCAGGCCAACTCCTGTAAGGAGAGGGAACTAAGCTACCTTTAGTTTAGAGGTCTTGAATCACTTTTTATCATTTCCAAAAATTGTTTCCCCATTGTCCAGGCTAAAATAACTTTCTTTTGCATGCAAAATATCCAGGAAGGGTAGGTTAGATGTTGTTATAAGAGAAAAAAATATAATTTTCCAAGGTGGGAATTAAAACCTTTCAAAATATCCTGCTTACTACTTCCTTCCTATATACCTGCAGTGTGGCCAACCTGTTTGCACCTGCACTTTGGTTTTCTGTATCTTACTTTAACTTGATTAAGAGGATGCACTCAAAGTCTGACAACAAGAATGAGAGAAGGGGGGAGAGAGAGGAAAAAGGAAAGAGAAAACTGGGTAGAGGAGGAAGGCCATCTTTATAACCTCTAGGTGTGACCATCATCATAAATGAGCTTGAAGCTCTAGGTTGTTCAACTGCTAATCCTGTTACCTGAGCCTGGTATATTTACCATATTCCCCTTTAGTATATGAAGAAGATCCCTACTTCACGAGTTCTTAGGGATGAGATGCTTAAACAATAAATGCATATGAAAAACTTTTTGAACCCCAAAGTCCTATAAAAATGTAAGATACTTGAGCCTGCTCAGACGTGTTAGCAGGAAAAAAAAAAAATCCAAGAGTGGAAGGAACACTGTGGTTCACAGAGCAAAAGAAATGTGGAAGTTTTGAATCAGGCATGCCCATCCCAACCCCTCAGACTTGGATTCAACAATCCTCCAGTGGATGCACCATGTGT